ACTATTTTTTTAATTCTTTCAATCAATGACTTGTTTATTGTTTTTCTAAAATTTTTTCACTGTTAAAAAATTACAAAATCCTCATGTATCAGACCCAAATTAAGTTAGATATTTTTTACGCTAAAAAGATATTTTTATGGTCTCTGGTTTATTTAATTTTTTATATTCTATAAAAAGCGTAAAAAAATCTTAGTGGCCAAATTTTGAGATTTTGAAACTTTTTCTTAAAATCTTTGGACTTGTTTGTTTTCTAAAATTTTCGTTTTTTTAATTTCTGGACCACTTTTACGTACCAGACCCGAGTTGATTTAATATTTTTTTTAAATATTCGAAAAGTTAAATATTTTGTTGCAAAAACTCGACTTTCAACGTTTTTAGTGGCTAAAGAAAAACAATTTTTTTTATTCTATCAATCAATGATTTGTTTATTGTTTTTCTAAATTTTTTTCACTGTTAAAAAAATTCAAAATCGTCATGTATCAGACCCAAATTAAGTTGAATAGTTTTTACGCTAAAAATTATATTTTTATAGTCTCTGGTTTATTTAATTTTTTATATTTTATAAAAAGCATAAAAAAATCTTAGTGGCCAAATTTTGAGATTTTGAAACTTTTTGTTAAAATCTTTCGACTTGTTTGTTTTCTAAAGTTTTCGTTTTTTTTGATTTCTGAACCACTCTTACGTACCAACTCGAGTCTGGTAATCTAATATTTTTTTGAAAAATTCGAAAAGTTAAATATTTTGTTGCAAAAACTCGACTTTCGACGTTTTTAGTGGCCAAAGAAAAACTATTTTTTTAATTCTTTCAATCAATGATTTGTTTATTGTTTTTCTAAAATTTTTTCACTGTTAAAAAATTTCAAATTGTCATGTATCAGACCCAAATTAAGTTTGATATTTTTTACGCTAAAAAAATATTTTTATAGTCTCTGATTTATTTAATTTTTTATATTTTATAAAAAGCGTAAAAAAATCTTAGTGGCCAAATTTTGAGATTTTGAAACTTTTTGTTAAAATCTTTCGACTCGTTTGTTTTCGAAAATTTTCGTTTTTTTTAATTTCTGGACCACTCTTACGTACCAGACCCGAGTTGATTTAATATTTTTTAGAAAAATTCGAAAAGTTAAATATTTTGTTGCAAAAACTCGACTTTCGACGTTTTTTGTGGCCAAAAAAAAAATATTTTTTTAATTCTTTCAATCAATGATTTGTTTATTGTTTTTCTAAAATTTTTTCACTGTTAAAAAAATTCAAAATCGTCATGTATCAGACTCAAATTAAGTTGGATATTTTTTACGATAAAAAAGATGTTTTTATAGTCTCGGGTTTATTTAATTTTTTATATTTTATAAAAAGCGTAAAAAAATCTTAGATTTTGAAACTTTTTGTTAAAATCTTTTGACTTGTTTTCTAAAATTTTCGTTTTTTGATTTCTGGACCACTCTTACGTACCAGACCCGAGTTGTATTGAATTTTTTTTTTTGAAAAACTAATCCTTTTTTGGGTACGATAAAATAACACATGATGTCGAGGTCTTCCCTTCATGCAATTACAAGCAATAATCGATTTGTCCTATTGGGTCGTCGACCGGTTGCGTCAGAGGAACATGCGTTAGCGTCACATGGCATTTCTAAAAATTGCTAGATTATATTTATTACGTAAGCGTACGTAAAAAAAGACATGCGATGTTGTTGGGTCTCTACCAGCATACAATCTTAAATTAAATTAGAGAAGTTAATTAACCGGTTGATTTAATTTTATGTAAGTATGTTCCAAGACACTTACCAACAATAAAAGAGTATAGTTTTAATTAGAAACACGCTCGTTCCCATAACGCCCGCGTCTAAATCAAAACGACACACCTCCAGAAATAACCGTGGAAGCGTCGTCGCCATTTTTAAAATCCATAACCTAGGGTTGCGACGTCGCGACGCTACTGGCGCTATCTGGAGTGAAATTTATTTTTTGGACCAAACTTTATTCATTTTCTTCGCATTTTATTATTTACTGGTTTTTCAATACAATTTATGCATATTTGTATTGACCATTGTTTATTGTTTACAAAGTGCAAGTGTTACAGAGCATTGAATAAAATTATACGCCTTTCGGAATTAATCAAAAAGTTATTAGAAAAATAAATAGTTTAATGTCTTTAAATTTAGTTCATTTATGAAAATTAGAAAATACTGGTTTACTTACTTGAATAACATAAATAAAATGTTTTGATTATCTTATTTTGGTATTTCTGACATAACTGGCAATTAATCAACAAGGAAGTTTAAACAAAAATAAAACGTGTCAAAGGTTAATGTATATTTAAATTCCTGCAGTAATCAGTTTTAATTTATGAAACTGTTAGAATGTTAATTTGTAAACTTGAATTTTCTACTTCAATCAGTTTTTTTGTATTGTGTTTAATAATTGTTAATTTTGATCAAAGAAACTTGCTTGTGTTGGTACTTTTATTACATGACAATATACAGCGTGATTCATATAATTTTACGACTCTCATGACATGCAAGTGCATACAACCTGTTATACATTTGTGTCATTCAGTTAAACATATTACTTGAAAGGTTTAAAAAAAATACTGAGTGTTTGAAGTCTGTGTTTGTGGACAACACGCATTAAATCAAATATAATATAACTGAGTAAAATTATATGAATCACTATTTTTTTTTAAAAATATTAAAATATTAATTTACTTTTAATTACCAAAACTTGAAACTAAAAAAATGTGCAAACTGTTGAAAAATAGTTTTGGTTCTTCTCTATCAGAAGAAAAGTAAACTCTTATTTTGTATTCTTTCAAAATATCTTCTGTAAAATTGAAACAATCGGCTGAATTGGGTTCCAAAAGAAACAATTTCGACAATTTTTATTTGTTTTTTGTAATAAATAAAAATAATGAATTATTGTTTCATTATTAATTTAATTGTTTTTCAATCTAATTTTTTTAGGAACATTTATTATTAAATTAGCAATTATAGATTTGTTAGAATTTACTTTAAAAATTACATAATAGATTTTCAAGAGATTGAAAAAAAAAGTTTTTTTAGGGATTTCAAATGGATTTTCATACCTTCTTCTTTTAAGAATTTAGCAATGAAGATTTTGTTTTCTAAATTTTTAGACATCTTTGAACTTAACAACAAAATGCATTTTACACTATAAATATAATTTTTAACAAATTTTTTGGAACATATGATTGCACAAGATTTTTTTTCTTTGTTAGTTTTGAAATCTACATCAAGTATAGATAGCCAGCAATAATGACTAAGTAAAATTATGTGAATCACCCTGTACACTTTTAGCAAAACTAGTAAGGAAAAAGCTTCAGTGTTTTTATTATGTTAAGTATTCTACAATTTTTTATGAAAATGTTAATTTAACTTTAATTTACAAAATTTGAAGATGTCGACGAAGAAATATGCAAAACGTTAAAAAATAGTTTACTATAAATGTTGTGGTTCAAAATAGTGCAAGATGTAGATCACTAAAACATATATTTGAAAGAATAAAGAAGAGTTAACTTATTTTTGATTTTTCTATTAGAAGAAAAGTAATCTCTTATTTTTTATTCTTTCAGTACCAGTGTATGTTCGGTTTCTTATTTTTGTTTTTAAAAATGATATTCAAACATATTTTTTAGAAAGATAAAATATCTTTTGTCAAATTGGAGCAATTAGCTGAATTGGGTTACAATTTCGACATTTTTTTTTTAATGAAAATTTATGAATTAATTTTTAGTTATTAATTTAACTAAGATTTTCTAGAGACATTTGTTATAAAATTAGCAATTATAAATTTGTAATTTAAGTCGTAATTTACTTTAAAAATTACATAATAATAGATTGTAACTCAAGAGATTAAAAAGAGGTTTTTTTAGGAATTTAAAATAGATTTTTATACTTTCTTCTTTTTCGTCATGTAGAATTAAGCAATTGAAGGTTTTGTGTTCTAAATTTTTAGAAATGGTTGAACTTAAGAACAAAATGCATTTTACACTATAAATATAGTTTAACAAATTTTTTGAGACATTTTGCACAAGATTCTTTTTCTTTGTTAGTTTTAAAATCAAGTATAGATAACCAGCAATAATAACTAAGTAAAATTATATGAATCACCCTATACACTTTCATCAAAACTAATTAGAAAAAGCTTCAATATTTTTATTATGTTAAATATTCTACAATTTTTTTCTTTTAATTAACAAAACTTGAAGATGTCGACGAAAGAATCTGCAAAACGTTGAAAAATGGTTTACTATAAATGTGGTGGTTTAAAATAGAGCAAGGTGTAAGTCACCAAAACGCATATTTGAAAGAAAAAAGAGAGTTAATTATTTTTGATTTTTGTATCAGAAGAATAAGAAAAAAAAAGTAAACTCTTATTTTTTTATTCTTTTAGTACCAGTGTATGTTTAGTTTTTTATTCTTGTCTTTAAAAATGATTTCCAAACGTATTTTTTAGTAAGATAAAATATCTTCCGTAAAATTGAAACAATAGGCTAAATTGGGTTCCAAAAAAAAACAATTTTGACAATTTTTATTTGTTTTTTTTTTTGTAATGAATTAATGAATTTATTGTTTAGTTATTAATTTAATTGTTCTTTAATCTAAGATTTTTTTAGGAATATTTATTATAAAATTAGCAATTTAGATTTGTAATTAACGTTTCAATTTACTTAAAAAATTACCTAACATTCGATTGCAACTCAAGAGGTTAAAAAAGAGGTTTTCTAGGAATTTAAAATAGATTCTGATACTTTCTTCTTTTTTGTCATGTGGAATAAAGCAATTGAAGGTTTTGTTTTCTAAATTTTTAGAAATGGTTAGAAATAATTTATACTTAAATATAATTTTTAACAATTAATTATTTTGAATCACCGAATTTTTTGAAACAAGATTCTTTTCCAAAGTTGGTTTGAAATCTACATCAAGTATAGATAACCAGCAATACAAAGTACGAAATATTCTGTGATAAAAATAAGACAAAAACTTACTTAAGCGTTTTATTTAGTTGAATCCTCATTACACAGAATGAGAAAATAAAAATAGTTTGAATAGTAAAAGAGGCAGCTAAAATGTACACTACTTGTGTAAGAAAATAGGTAAGAGTTCTTACAATGAACCCTCGATTCACTTCACATACAAACAGCCTTAATCTGTATATACACAATCATAATATAACACAATATAAAATAATAATTTACTATATAACATTGTGCCTAATGTGCTAGGACATTGAGCATTGAACTTATATCACATACTTGTACTTCAGAATGAGTTTAGAAAAAACGAATCATTCATTGAAAAACTCGACAATTTTTTGCAAACTCGTGTACGTTCCTACGACAAGTCCTATAATACCAAATATGACAATGGCACAGTTTTTGGCAATTATCATTCTGCCACTGAAACCAGTCAAAGAGTTCCAGAAAGTACTGGTTTGGATTATCGCAGGGAAGGCCAAACCAAGGGCCGATAGGCAAAAAGCACCAAATAACGATATGAAGAGATCCAGTTTGGGAATGGCCACCGCTAAGGCAACTGAAAATAAAAAAAATTAAAAATATTTTTAAACAAAAAACTTGACTTACATGTGATTAGGACTAGAGCAGTTCGCACAGCATACTCAAAAAATAGCTGGTAGCGACTTTTTTCAAATCTTGATGCTAAATATTCGTTCCATATAATATCAATAGCTACATACATTTGTAAAGGATGGGTGATGTAGATTGCTATGGCTAGCAAGATTTTAGCCACTTGTCCCAGGCTATAAAATTAAAAGAAAATTAATTAAAAATATTTTTCAGAAATTATTAGGACCGAGGGGCCGTTAACTTGAAAAAAAATATGTACAACTAGCTGCAATTACAAAAAAAATCCACCAAAATATTATTTTTTTTAATTATCTCCAATAATACCCAATTAATTGCTGTAATTCCAAAATAATTCCTGCAATTCTAAATTAATTCCGATAGTTTTGAGGAATTCAACGTGGTTTTTAAAAGAATAAATTATCTCCGAGAATTCCAAAAAGAATTCTAATAATTTCTGTGATTCTATAATTCCATTATTTTCAGAATAATTCGTATAATTTTAAATTAAATTTTGTAATTACAACTTGATTTCTGTTATTATCTTTCGTAATTCAAAAAAGATTTCCAGTAATTTACAAATAATTTCGATAAGTAATAAAAAAAATCCACCAAAATTCAATTTTAATAATTCTTTTAATCCATTGCAATTCCATTGTTTTTGGAT